TTCTCCTGCCTCAGCCTCCTGGGTAGCTGGGATTACAGGCACGTGCCACCATGCCCAGGTAATTTTTTGTATTTTTAGTAGAGACGGTGTTTCACCATGTTGACCAGGATAGTCCTGATCTCTTGACCTCGTGATCCACCTGCCTCGGCCTCCCAAAGTGCTGGGATTACAAGCGTGAGCCACCGCGCCCGGCCTCATCCATGCTTTTTTTTACCTTGTGATCGAATTTCTCTTCTAGAGTGAGCAGGATGTATTTTTTATCCCCACTAAAACTGGGTAGGGCCATGTAATTTGCCAGACCTGATAGCATGCTAGAGGATGTAACATGAGCAAAGGCTTTGCATTTATTTCCATGATTTGGCTTTTCTTCTTTGGCTTTTTTGATTCCTCATGAGAGAGAAAACCCCAGGTGCAGCTATACTTTCAACCTGGACCCCAGAATGAGTGGCCTAAAGCTGGCTAGAACCTTGGAGTCCAGCTTTTCTCAGCCATGCTCAGCTTAGATCAGCTCAAGCCCAGTCAACCTACTCACATGTGAGCATGAAATTGTTAGTTATTATAAGCACAGAGATTGTCATTTGTTACAAAGCAAAAACTGAATGCCATAGCATATATAATCTGGAAGGTCACACTGGCTTCTATTCAAATTAGCCTTCATTTGTTTTTAAATAGATAAATGTTTTTTCACTCTTATTGAGAATTGGATGTGACTATCTTCAGGTAATCTACTTCTCAGCATCAAGAAAGCTCCTGACAGTGCAGGAAATTAACCCAGGCTGGTAAGGCTGGTAGAGTGAGAGAGAACTACCAACCAACCAGCTAACCAACCACTCCCCTACTCTTTCAAGATACTATAGGTGAGGGAATGGGAATGACTGAGAGGTTAGGCAAAGTCTCTTTATTTTATTAATTTTAATTAGATAACTTAGCAACAATTTTATTTAATTACTCATATTCTTGAAAAACATCAATAAATACAAAATTATAACTTAGAAAAATTTGTAACATAATGTAGAGAGTTTCAAAAAGACTATACTACTACATTTGGGAGAAGAGTTTTTAAGATTATAGAGAATATAGTTCTCTGAAATAGTTATTTTTAAATTCAAAATAGCAAACTTTAAGACAAATTACTTTTCATAAGTAAGTATATTTAATATAATTATTCTAGTACAGCCACACATGTCTTAAGTCAGTATTGACTATTCCCAGGAAACAGGAAGTAGTAGCATTCTTTCTACTGTCACGTCCTACAACAAAGGAGACATTAAAAAATGTCAGAAAGTAGTAGTTCATAGTAAGTTTAATTAATCTTTAAAAATAAGTATGTGAAGTGTAGATATATTAGTTTAATTTGATCATTTCACGATGTATACATATATCAAAACATCACATTGTACAGCCTAACTGCATATAATTTTTGTTTAAGAAGTTTAATAAAGCTGAAAGTGGGCCGGGGCGGTGGCTCATGCCTGTCATTACAGCTCTTTGGGAGGCCAAGATGGGCTGATCACCTAAGGTGAGGAGTAGAAGACCAGCCTGGCCAACATGGTGAAACCCCTGTCTCTACTAAAAATACAAAGCTAGCTGGGTGTGATGGCACGCGCCTGTAATTCCAGCTACTTCCAAGGCTGAGGCAGGAGAATCACTTGAACGTAGGAGGCGGAGGTTTCAGTGAGCCATGATCACGCCACTGTACTCCAGCCTGGGTGATAGAGCGAGACTCCATCTCAAATAAATAAATAAATAAAAATAAAGCTGAAAGTTGGGGAGGGCTGTATCACATTTAAACCTTGATTTAATGAAGTTAATTCATTTACTACTAAACATTTCTTGTTGACAGAACTTTTCCAAGTAGTCTCCTAAGACAAACCAAAGCCTGTCTTTTTCAACCACTGATGGGGATTTCCTTTGTGTTATGGACTATCCTATAGCTCAGTGGAATTCTTGCTCAGAAAGTTTTGTGAAATGGAAGAACCATGACGGCGATGCCAATCGAAATTTTTGTTCATAGAGCTTAAGATAAAACCAACTAGTCATTCAAATTCTACTAAAAATTCTCATAAATAAACATATATGTATACATGATTCAAGCTTAACATAGCTCAACTCAGGTTTAGCTCATTAAATATTGATGGAGACACAGGAAAGGTAAGAGAGTTTCTTAACGTGATTTTAAACTGTATGTGGGAACAGAATAGCATAGTAGTTTTTTAGAAGGCTTCTGGGATAAGTTCACCTCCATTTTATCCTGACTTCCCCTCTTTTTAGCTGAGTGGTCATTTTTAGACTTATTGGGACTTCATTTTTATGTCTGCTAAGTAGAGATAATAATACTGGCCTGGTGCAGTGGCTCATGCCTGTAATCCCAGCACTTAGGGAGGCTGAGGCGGGTAGGTCACGAGGTCAGGAGATGGAGACCATCCTGGCCAACATGTTGAAACACCATCTCTACTAACATATAAAAAAAACTAGCTGGGCATGGTGGAACCTGCCTGTAGTCCCAGCTACTTGGGAGGCTGAGGCAGGACAATCACTTGAACCTGGGAGGCAGAGGTTGCAGTGAGCCGAGATAGCACCACTGCACTTCAGCCTGGTGACAGAGCCCTCAAAAAAAATACTACTAATAATACCACCTACACCAAAGGGTTGTTGAGAACATTAAATGAGGTAATAAATGCAAAGTACTTAAAACAGTGCCTGTCACATGGGAAATAATAAATGACTACTAATGCATTTGCATGACAAATGACTAAAACTTGAGGACAGATGGAATATATCTAAGATGTTGTTCCAGTTTAGTTTCTGTTCTTACTTGCATGTATATTTTATTCGATTCACTCCCTCTTAAATGAAAACCTTAGGTCCAGGTATGCTGGTAAATAGCCTACTTCAATTCCGGTCATGTTGTTTCCATTGAACTAGTTATTGGAAAAATTGGAAAGTTTTGGTTTTCAGGACATTTGGAAATTTGGAATTGCATATCAGTGCTGAAGATCTGTACAGTATTTTGTGATTTCCATTGGTTTGCTATTATCTTGAGTGAATTCAAACACATGGGCATTATTTATATAGGACATAGTACCAAGTGGAAAGTACAGCCTGTCTTAGTCTTTTTAATAATCCTAAAAACATCATGTATGGTAGAGACACTTGGTATTCACTGAATTCCCATGTGCTTCCTTGCACTTTCCGGCCTCCTTTGCCCTTGGTTTGGGGCAATAGACTGTGAGCAGAAGAGATGTGAATCGCTTCCTGGCCAAGGCAGTTAAGACGTGTGTGCCTCCTCCGTTTCTCTCTTCCTCTGTTGTGGCAACTTTGGAAGACACGACTTGAGATGGAAGTGGCAGAAGATGAAGGGAACTTAGATATCCAACTCACTAAATGGAGAGCCTGGAAATCTGCATAGGGCTTGACTCATGTGAGAACTATTTATGTTGTCACTAAGATTTTGAGTTTGTTGTGGCAGCCACATCAGTTAGTGAGAATGACAAAACAATGGTCAGGTGAGAATGAGTTTAGTTAAGGCCATATGATGATGCTTCTAATGATGATGACGAGGGAAAAAAATGAGCGTAACTTCTAACCCTAATAAAAGACAGGGTTGGATGTACTCGCTTCTGCATGGAATTGCATGTAAACTATAGTCCGATAAGCGAAAATAATTTTAATAGGAGTTTTCATCTTTTATTTGGATCTTTTGAAGATCATTAAATGAAATCTCACTTATCCTTTCAAACAGTTCTCAAAAGCTCCTTTTCTCCCCTTCTAAATTCTTATATGACTTATAGCAGTGGAGTGTGAGGTGACATCCATCATGAAGATCATACCCCTCTGGTGGCTTTTTTGATGCTAAACAGAGGGGACAGTACCATGTTAGTCAGTTTCCCCAGCATACCTCATCAAATATTTACCTAGACATTTTCTCTCCTCACTGTCCTTCATAGTCACCTGGAAGCCATATTGTCTTTGCTTATGTCACCTATACACATGCGTACACACACCTACATGCATGCTGATCTAGCTATGAATTATTTCATGACCTAAGTGGTATAATGTATGTGCCTGCCTATCTGTCTGTCTGTCTGTCTCTCTCTCTCTCTATATATATATATATATATCTCTTATCTGATGTGATATATATCACACTGAGATCATGCAGTGATTCAATAAAACTGCTACCTAGGACACATACATTTAAAACAACTTCTGGTCCCAATTAATGGCAAAAATACCCATATCTCTTCACAAGCAATGAAGCAAAGCATAGGCTAAACACTTACATTCCTTTATTCCATTGTAATCAATGAGAAAAAATGCATAAGGCTATATGTATGAGCTTTATGCACTTTGAGACAGAGTCTGACTCTGTCAACCAGGCTGGAGTGCAGACACAAGTCTGGCTCTGTCAACCAAGCATGATCTCAGCTCATTGCAACCTCCGCCTCCCAGGTTCAAGCGATCCTCCCATCTCAGCTTTCCAAGTAGCTGGGTGCTATAGGTGAGTAGGCATGCCCTACCATGGCTGGCTAAATTTGTATTTTTTGTAGAGATGGGGTTTTGCTGTGTTGCCCAGGCTGGTCTCGACCTCCTGAGCTCAAGCAATCTGCTTACCTCGGCCTCCCAAACTGCTGGGATTACAGGCAAGAGTCATTACACCTCCCAAGGCTATTAAGAAAACCAGGAGAAAATGGATCTAGACTTCCTTTACCATTGAGGAGCATATAAAGAGAGTGTCAGTCAGATGTGTCAGGAGACCATCCATGTGCCCTCTCACGTTGAGCTCCTGACAACTGCTTCTGGATCCCATTAGTTGGTTCTTGCTCACATCCGTAGAGACAGTGCCAACTCACCGCTCTTTTTTTCTGTTCCTGTTTCCAGGGAAAGAGTGTATAGCATTATCCATCCTGTGACATCCTTTAGTATTAAGTATTGAAGGGAGGTGAAATCACATATAACCTCACATAAAGATAGAAGTAAATTCCACATGCTTAAGAAGGAACATGACTTTCTTCATGGACAAACTAAATTTAAGACAGTGAGGGGCAATGGGTGGACCTTAAAGTAGTTACGCTGTGTGAGATAAGCCAGATACAAAAGGACAAATATTGTATGATCCCTCTTTTGTGAAGTAATTGGAATAGTCAAATTCATGGAGGCAGAAAGTAGAATATTGATGACCAGTGGCTGGCGGGAAGGAGGGATGGGAGCTATTGTTTAATAGTGGCAGAGTTTCAGTTTGGAAAGATAAAGAGGTTCTGAAGATGGATGGTGGTGATGGTTGCACCACAGTGTGAAAGTGCTTAATGCCACTCAGGTGTATTAAAAATGGTTTAAATGGCAAATTTTGTATTATGTATGGTTTACCCCCACAAAAAAAGACAATGAAGGGCAGAACTAACCAATTTAAAATATGATGAAAATCCTGGAGTTGAAACAAGTTACTTCCCCTTAGTCACCAAAGTCCACGCTATGGGATTGCAGAGGGGGGTGCTTCATATCATCTCTTGTGTCTAGGTGCCAATTACGGAGGTGACCCACATATACTATTAGACAGGGATCAATGTGCTCTTCTCACCATTAAACATTGATCTCAGAGAAGAAATTCCAACACAGATATATCATTTTCCTTTGTTTATTTCCTATCTAAATAAATTAGGAGGCTAAATGAGATGAGAAATATTTCATTGATAGGATATTAATCATTACATAATAGAGACCATGAAAACAGCTCATCAAAGTTCATTAGTGTTTGATTAGTCCCAGTGTAGGGTAAGATTCTTTTGATTTAAAAAATAATGGTCTGCTGTTGCACTGCATAAAAATCACTGGGGGAATTGAATGCTTTAAGTAGTATAGTTTTTCCAGTTTAGGTTTATAGGTACTCTAGGAGTTGATTCTCATTATCTTGGGGTGCCTTCTGCACTTCTGTCTGTAATGGGATTTTTCATGAGGTTCAGTGGATCATAGATTCTAGTATCAAAGAGTTATAAATCAGAGGTCTAGGCAGGAAAACTCAGTATTATCTTTTCTTGAAAAATGTGTTGGGCCCCAAAAGTGGAAGTCTGTCAGAATAAAACTTAGCTGGCTTTCCTAGCTTCTCTAGTATGTCAGTGGACAATCACCTCCCCTCCTCGGTCCTGCTACTTTCCTCAGCTGGAATGTTTTCCAATGCCTATCTGCCTGTTTAAATTCTAACCATTCCTCAAGGCCTGTTGGAAACCCTGTCAGCTACATCCCCTTCCTCGGTAGCCCAGCCCTCCTGGGACATTCTTGTACTTCCTGAATCGCTCATTTAGATTTAGCCTTCCTTGAACTTGCACATTTGTTTTGTTATTTATTTATTTATTTATTTTTGTAAGAAATATGTGTGGTAGCCAGTTTCCAAGGTGGCTCCCAATAATCACCACCTCCTGATTTTCACACACTTGTATAGTCCCTTCCATATTTTATCAGGGTTGGTCTGTGTAACCAACTGTATATGGCAGAAGTAATGGTATGTCGCTTCTGATATTAGGTTATAAAAAGACTGTGGCTTCCATCTTGGGTGTGCTCTCTCTCTCTCTCCCCTACTCACCTTCTCTTAGATCACTCTTCCAGAGGAAAGTCAACTGCCATGTCAGCAGAGCAGTAAGACAAACTATTGATAGGTAAGGGGCTGAGGTCTCCCAGCCATCCAGGAAGGAACTGAAGCCCTTGTGATTGGGAGTGGAAGCAGGTTGAGCATTTGAATGAGACTGCAGCTCCAGCCAATAGCTGCACTTCTCAGACATCTTGAGCCAGATTCACCCAGTTAAGCTGCTCCTCAATTCCTGGCCTATATGAACCATAAGGTAATAAAGATTGGTTATTTTAACCTGCTAAGTTGGGATGATTTGTTATGTAGCATTAGATAACGAATGCAATACCTTATCTCTCCAGCTAGACTACAATCCTTGAAGAAGGATTTCTAGCTTCCAGTTGATTCTTCAGGATGTCTGTACATATCCATTGGATTGAAGAGAAAAGTAGATAGATGGATAGCTATTTTTATCTACCTCCTTGAACTTTTTCACAGATACCAACTATTCTGAACAGTGTTCTATGAGGCGGGTAAAAGAAAACTGACAGTACTAATCCTATTTCAACATGAGTGGAATCAGTCGAAGAAAATACTTTAAACATGGATCTAAAACTTGGCAGATGCTGGTGGCAAGGCCCTGAATTTAGAATATAATCCACTAATGTAATTTTTTTCAAATCCTTTCATTCCACTCACTTCCTGGAAGTCCTCTGGTGGCCTCTTCAGTGGGGGTGCTCTCTGGCTCTTTGCAGGCACCACCCTCATGCACCTGCTCTGAGGAGCTCTACTGCTCCAGGCTCCAACACCCGGCTATCCTCAGAAGCACAACAGCACACATTGAAAAACGCCTGACTGTGACCCATTTTATTCATCACTTCATTTTTATTTGTCACAGGTACTATGGTATCAGATAAAGATCACATAATAAGGCTGTTACAAAAGATGAACATACCATCATATAGAAATGTTACAAACTAAAAATTGAAGAGTACTCTCTCTGCCTCTCTATCATCAATCACTTTGCTCCAAGGTGTTTTGGCAAGAGAGATGTTTTGAGACAAACAGTAACTGATATGAGGAACACGTGTTGATTTGCTGCATCTATGAGATATAACTAATAACAGATGGATGTTATTTATAAACTCTTACATGTTTATCCTAGTTCTTTTGAACTCCTTTCTATTCTGGGTCTATCAGCTGTTGCTATTTGGATAATTAATTACACAACAAAACTCAGTTTAAAATTTTGAAATGTACATTTCCTATAGGGTCTGTATATTAAATTTTCTTGTTTGTACTGTTAAATATTTTATATGCTGCTTACAGCCTAAGGCGTTTACACACACACACACACACACACACACACACACACACACACTCTGCATTGATTGGATCAGCTTTTAAATCTTCATTTAAGTTTTGTTTAGTTATAGTCTTAAAAAAATACTCCCCACTCCTAATCTGACCATATCTGTTTCAGCAACAACAGAACCAATCAAAGAATGTGGCCTGGATTATCATGCACAGCTTTTAAATTTATAAGTTTCTCAGAATCATTATTGAATGATTGTTGATAATATGGTTTAAAAAAGAAAACTGTTGAATCAGTTAAGCTTAATGGACCCAAGACAGCATTCCACTCCTCGTCTCTGTATAGAGGTCTAGAACATTTTTGTAACCAATAAGCAAATTGACTGTGAGAACAGAAGGCCCGTACTATCCTGAAGAGGGAGTTGGTGAGAGGAAGGGAGAGCGAGATGGAGAAAAAGGGTTTTGTTTTTATGACTGCATGTGAATATTGCTACATCAGTACAGTGGAGCTTAAATTCCCCTTACCAACTTTGAATTCAAGTATATCTGGTTGGGATAGAATGAGTTTTGTTGAAAGAGGAATATTTAAATGCATAGAAAGTCAGAAAGGGTTTATCTAGTTCTAACTGGTACTCTTTATTTCCAGCTGAAAAGCTCTCAGATTCTAAATTTCTGTCCTCTTTGAAATTATCAAAGGATGTCAAAGGAATATTTTTAAATTCATCTTGATTTCATGACTGTGAAGGAACTTAAGTGGAACCATTGTCAATGGAGTTGGAGTTTTCTATTCAGCAAGAGTTCAAAGCTCTAAATAATCATTAAAATTGGCAATGGGATAAACAAAAAACCCATATAGATCAAAACAAAGTGTAATGTATTAAACATATTCTTTAAAAGTAATTTCAGTCTCTGAAGCCAAAGTGACTACTAAACAAAAAAAAAATTATGTTAGTCATACTCTAAAAAAAGTCTGCATCCATAAAATTCATTGCTGGAAAAGCAATTCTTAATATTGTCTTAATACTGATGTGCTTTTTTTTTGTTTTGTTTAAAAAAATAAGAAGTTAAGCAGCATTATAGATCATCAGAGTTAGGCTACACAAAGAAACAAATGGATATTTAAAAATTGACCAATGGTCTCAACTGTATCTCTGGCACTTGTAGTATGAGAGTATCTTTAAATTATTCCTTGTGAGCTAGAATCATTGAATTATTGATGTGGAGACAGATTGAGGCTCTACAAAGGTTCAGATATGGTCTCTGTTCCTGTCTACATGACTTTTCCACTTAGTGATTTCTTAGCTAGGATCCTTTATAATTCTATAATTCTGAGATTCTCTCATTCCATAATTATCTTATGTTTTATATGTTCCTTTGTAAAAGTGATCAGTGGTTTTTCTATTGCTTATTCCTGAAAGCATGTAGATATTTAGTGTATTTATTCTTAAATATTTGCTGCTACAATATTTATACACATTTGTGTTATGAAGATGATCTTATTGTATCTGACTGGCCTCGGTACATACCCTGTAGCCAGGAGATGGTGCATCTCTGTGAGGTCCCTTTTTTGAGAACTTCCAAAGAGGCAGTCCATAAGAGGGTAAGGATAAATGTTTGAGAATGACCATGCCTGGAAAAAGGGTGGAAGGTGAGGGTTAAGAGTATGGATTCTGGAATCAGACTGCCTGGATTCAATGTAAGTCAAGCTCCACCAATTATGTGTTGGATGATCTTGTGTATGTTACTCAAACTGTTTGTGTCTCAGTTCTCAAATACATATGGGAAATTAATAATAGCATCTAGCTTATAGAATGGCCGTGAGATGACATAAATAAAATTTAGAGCAATATCTTGGCATACTTGCAATCAGTCACTATTATTATAGTAACTATTTCCATGGAAAGGTTCAAATTCCAGCTTTATCACATACCAATATGATTTTGTGTAATGCCTTAACCCTTCAGTTTGTCCATCTCTCAAAGAAGGATTATAAAATCTATCTCACAGGGTTGTAATGGGAATTAATGGCATATCATAAAAAGTGCCTAAAGGAACTTAGAACTTGAGGTATGTGAGTGCTTAGCTGGTATATACACTCCATTATTCTAACTTGTTCAGCAGTTTATTTCTCAGAGTCCTGACCAGTGATACTTGGGAGTGAGATTCAACTTGAGCTTTTTGGGGGGAGGTGCATCAGCTTTGAGAGTCCTAGACAAAGTTTTGCTAGAGCTGAGGAGACTCAGAGGAAACCCCTTCCCCAAGCCAACTTGTTCCAGTCTGGTATATAAGTCAGAATGCTAGTGGGAAAGATGGCAAGTGGCTAGACTGCTGGGAGAGGTAAATTTCTCATCTCCCATTGGAAGTTTTGTAAGAGTTGTTTAACTGGTGATTTTCCAGAAAAGTGATCCTGAAGATGTGCTCCAAGGACTACTGGGAGTCCTTAAGGGTCTTTTGGGAGTCTGTAAACTCAAAAGTACTTTTATGATAATATTAGAGGCTATTGACTTTTCTCATTCTTCTTCTCTCATGAGTCTCCAGTGGAATTTTTCAGAGTCTACATGATGAGTGATGATGTCATTGTCCTCAGAGCTAATGGAATGTCTGCTTATGTATTTCACATTTTAAAACGTTCCCAGTTTTAATTTATATTATGGTAAATACAATAGTTTCCTCTAATCTAGGAGGGATATGGTCTAAGGCCCACAATGGAAACCTTGGGTAGTACCGAACCCTATATTTGCTATATTTTTCCTAAACATCCATGCATACATGTAATAAAGTTTAATTTATAAATTAGACACAGCAAGAGATTAACAATAATAACTAATAATAAAATAGAACAATTATAACAATATGCCAGCACCACTACTCTTGCACGTTGAAGCCATTATTCAGTACAATAAAGGTGACAAACGCAAGCTTTGCAATATCATGACAGTCGATCTGATAAGCCAGGTGGCTACTGAGTACCTCAGGGTGGGTAGCGAAGATAGTGTGGATATGCTGGACAAAGGAATGATTCATGTCCCAAGCAGGATGGGATGAGACAGTGCAATATTTCATCATGCTACTCATAACAGTGGACAATGTCAAACATTTGAATTGTTTATTTATGAAATTTTCCATTCAATATTTTGGGATCACGGTTGACCTTGTGTAAATGAAGCTGTGGAAAGTGAAACTGGAAAAGGGGAACTTGCTGCCTCAATAGACATAATTCGCATAACAAAACAACTCTCTGGGGTCCTCACTAATTTTTAAAGAAATAAACAGGTCCTGAGACCAAAATGTCTGAGGTTCCCTAACCCTGGAAAAAGGGACCGTCCTATCTGAGAATTAACCAGATTCTGTCTCTAGGTAGTTGATGTTAGAAACTGCCTAGAACACTCATCTGTTTCCCTGAATCTTTGCCTTCCTTTTTCCAAACTCTTCTGCAGCCCACCCTAGGCCTCCTGACACGTATTCCTTCTGCAGATGACTGCTTTGTAGTTTCTTTCTTTCTTTTCTTTTTTTTTTTTTTTAACGAAACTCTGACCCAGAATGTAGTTTCTTTTGACCGCCGTCATTTTTAGGCTTTCCTGAGACTCTGTCTGATTTTATTTCAGCTACATTCTGTTATTCCTGACCAGATTCTGGACACATCTTGTTTCTCTAATGATCCCATTTACAGTCTACCTCTCAGGGCAGATCATTTGGTTCAGGTTTCTCAAGGTTAGTGCCAGAGTGCGTTCTTTTTCTGATTCAGTCTTTCAAATTTTAGGTCATTTTAATAGCGCTCCTATCACTGCACTTATCGTGCCAAATATATAAAAAATAAAAGCTTAAAAGAAAAAGCCATATGGAATTTGTTAAGGGCGTCCAAGTTAAATTTGGTGGCTGGTCTTTCCTATCCTGAACTGCTGTAATCATAAAAGTCTGGTAGGCTTATTCAGATACATGAAAGGACATCTGGAAAACAAAGCTGTGTGACTATTCATTTGAAGTGCTTATGAAAAGCTGTTAAAGTGAATAATTTGAAGAGCTTGGAAATATATCAATACTGTATGAGGCAATCATGCAAATTAATAAGGGCCCAAGGTCCTGGGTCAAATTGGGTAAGGCCCAAAAGAAGTTTGACTTTGAACAAGTAAGAATGTTAACAAATCTTTAAGAATTATCTACATTTACTGAAAACAGGAGCTTCCTTTGGTTAGGTGTTTCTTTGCCTTTACCTACAAATTAAAAAGACTAGTAATTAATAAGGAGGAGGGAGGGATGGATAGGCAGAGTACAGAGGATTTTTAGGGCTGTGAAACTACTCTGTATGATACTCTAATGGTGAATACATGACATTACACATTTTTCCAAATATACAGAATGAACAACACCAAGAATGAGCCTTAATGTTGATTTGGGTGATAATGATGTGTTGTTAATGTAGGTTCTGGTGGGGGAGGTTGGTGGTGGTGGAGGTGGCGGTGGTGGTAGTGTTGGGGGATTAT